TTTCAATACCCTCTATTCTTATCAAATTATTAAGATCTACTTCAATGGCTTTAGATTACAGAAATTTTTAGCTTTCATGTATACTTCCCATGTATGAAATCATCATCCCCACCAAACCTGAGAAAGTTCATTTTATATCCTTTATCACCATCTCATTTCTCATTACAGTCTTACAGAAAATTACAGTGAACATTATCTCTTAGATTTGATTCTTCATTGAGTCAATTAACTTTAAAACACAGCCAGCTATAGTGATTTCATTGAAACATTTTCTCAGATGTTCACTGCTCTCTAAAAATTAGTAATTTTTCTTGGAACCAGTTTCAGAGGGTGCCTGATGAAGTCTGCTTAAAGATCCACATTTAGAACCGGAGAGATGATGACTCAATGTTTAAGAGTAAATACTCCTCTCAGAGGAACTGAGTTCAGTTCTCAGCACCCATGGCAGGCAGCTCACTACCACCTGTAACTCCAGTTCCAGTAAGACCAGAGCTCCTGGATTCCATAGACTCTTGCACTCACATGCATAAACCCAAACACAGACAGGCAGAGAGACAAATCATTTCTTAAAATAAAAAATCTTAGCAGATTAATTATCTCAACTTAAGCATTAGATCTGTACAAAGCTTTATCTTAATTAAACAATACATATTACACCCTGCATTTTATCATTTGCCATGATTTTGTTCATCCTCTACCCTAAGTTTTAGTAACTGACATACAATTCCTTCGTCTTTGCTTTCCTATATGAGAATTCTTAACTCTTCACCCTCTCTGACACCACAGAAAACTCCCATATCATCTACCTTCCTCTCCTGAGTTCTGATAAGTTTTCAAAGAAACTTGGGTGTCCTATTGTGCCTCTCCCCTACCATGTACCCATCAACCCTCTTTCTATAACTCAAAAGTAATGAACATATGACTCACGTTACTGAAAAGAATAGGCTTTATTAAGCAGAAGTTATGACTTCAAATTTGAGCACAGTGGTCTTGTGTAGAATGGGGATGAGGAGTACACAGCAGTGCTGGTCATCAGGAAAGGGAGCCTAGTGGTACTGAAGGGACAGAGCATTGGCCACCCCAGCCATCAGCTTCTGCCAGGCAGCTTGCACCTCAGCTGTGAATTCCTTGCCAAGGTGAGAAGAAAGAACAATCACCAACATGTTTCCCAGGAGCTGTAAGAGTAAATACAAAAATGAGAAAAACAGATACAAGAAAGAATTTACTTGGAAAAAATATTTAAGTTGAGTTCCTTGAGGACTCCAATTCCCAACTTCCTATCCACCTAATGAGGTGGTTGGTTCAATTTCAATCTTCAAATGCTCTCCTTGCTCTCATTCAACCTCCTCCTGCCTGCTTCCTCAATCTGCCTCAATCTGACAATTTTTATACATCTCTTGTTCCTTTTCTTATTTGTCAATGGATTGGCTTCATAAATGAAGAATTGCTATGACTATATGTTCACTACAGAGCAAGTTTCCAATAATGAAGAAAATAGACACTCTTTATATTGCTCATTGGGATTGTAAATTTTTTTAGAATGATCATCAAACTGGTAAGAAAAGTCTGTCTGATTTTCTCTCATATCTTTTCTAAAGTGGCAAACATTTAGAGTCCACATAAACAGTGAATTTCTCCTTCTCTAAAACAAAGGGTCAACTCCAATTTTTTTTTCTAGTCCTATATATGGCCTAATTTATTTTTTTTAAGTGTAGGGGATTTGTAACCAACTTCAAAGGCTGGCACTTTTTGTCCTTTTGGTAGACATTGAGTCCCAGGCTTCATTTACCCTGAAATACCATTCTTAACAACTGAGTTGTATACTGAGACACCACATGTCTCTCTAAAAAACTTTTCTGCATATTTACAAATTTATAGAAGTTTCTGAATACAGATATTTTAAGATCTGGACCAGCATAACCAATCATGCTTTTCTTTCTCAATAATTGAATTAATTCATTTATTTTATACACTAACCTCAGTTTCCCCTCCCTCCTTTCCTCACATCCCCTCCCTCCACCATCCCTCTATCTTCCTATCCACTCCTCTATTTCTGTTCAGAAAGGGGCCAGTCCCCATGGATTTCAACAAAACATAACATATCAAGTTTGGGTAGGATTAAGCTCCTCCCCTTGTATTATGGCTGGGCAAGGCAACCCAATATGAAGAATAAGTTCCTAGAAGCAAGCCAAAGCATTAGGAACCAATCATGCTCTTAACTTCAATTCTTTTCCCCATGTTATATTTAAATTTAGCACATGAATTGTTTGACACTGACCTTGAAGTTCTCAGGATCCACATGAAGCTTGTCACAGTGCAGCTCACTCAGATGAGCAAAAGCTTCTTTGAGGTTGTCCATGTTCTGAACTGCCAAGCCTAGGGATGTCAGCACTTTCTTGCCATGGGCTCTGATTCTGGGGTTACCCATGATGGCCGGGGCAGAAGACAGGTTTCCAAATTTGTCAAAGAATCTCTGAGTCCATGGGTAGACGATCAGGAGCCTAAAACGCAGGGCATTAGCAGTTTAAAATCAGAATATATTGAAAACCCCTAAAGGAAGCTTGGCTATTTCTGCCAAGCTCAATTTTCTCTCCATTCCTCCCCTGCCCTGGTCTCAGATCTTACCTTCCCAAGGTTTCTCCTCCAGCTTTTTCCAAGTCCACTTTATTCCATATGCTTGTGATAGCTGCCTTCTCCTCAGCTGTGAAGTGAACCATGGTGTCAAGTCTAGAAGCTTGGAGAGACCGCAGGTGTCTGGGAAGGAGCAAGTGTGTTCAAGTGGCTGAAGGCCTGCCCTTTTATTCTTCACCCTGGACCTTGCACCCCTGACCCCCTCCCCCAGGACTCTGAGGCTATTGGTCAAGGGAGGCTGGGCAACACAGGGTGGGGTCTAGTGGAGCAAGGTCTAGATAGCATTTGCACTAAGATATCTTCAAGTAGGCCCCTTCCCTCCTTTGTGGGGGATGGGGGGGGGGAGACCCTCCTGCTCAAGTTTTCATAGCTTCTACTCTTTCTTCCCTTCTCCTCCAAACAGGAGATTTGCAAGTGTGTTTTTCACACTTTTCCCTTTTTTCTCTATCAGCCAGTATATTAAAGCTGAAGCAACAGCCTTAGCTTGAGGCTCTTTTGAGGCATGGGAATCAGGACCTTGGTAGCAGAAATGTGCCCCATACTCAGAAGTCATGTATGACAAAGAAGTGGTGTGCCAACCTTTGGATGTTTTTTTTTATAATTTGGCTATGATTTCCCTAGTTGCCCATAGCCTCAGGAAAGCAGTTCCTATTACCTTTCAGTTTGTGAATAGGAATAAACACCTGTGGTGTAATAGAGCATGTCTCTTCATTTGCCTTTATCATACTTTGAAACAAAGCAATCTACTGTGTGTAGATGACAGCATTTTCTACCCTGTGAATGCACTGTGTTGTCACCATGCAGTTGTCATCCCCACTGTAAAAAAGTAGCTGTCTGGTGATACAGCATGTGGGTTCAGCCTTCTCTGTCCTCGTGGCAAATTGAGTACTAGAAGGCTGAATGGTTGACATTTCAGATTACTTCAACCAGGCTGTCTTCACAAAATAATGTGTGTTCACAAAATAATCCTGAATTAGAAGGGTATTTCCATACAGTAACAGTCCACATGTGCTGTCACACCTAGGACAGAATTACTCATTAGGAACTTCATTCCTAGTAGTGACTTACACCAGGAGCTTTCAAGTTTCTTCACTCTTCCTATATAGTGGTGAAAGGAATTTTTATTAGTGTGCCAGTATGGAACATACAGTCTGAGAGAAAACCAGCTACATTATCTATTGCATGAGCCATGAGTAAGATGGTAGTCAAATTACCACCTGAGCCCCATTTCTAGTGTAAAACAATGGTGCTAGCTTCCAGAAGCACCTCCTTTCACATATACAAACTTAAATACAGATATACACACTGACTCATAAAACTTAAAATAATAAATCTTTTTAAAAACACTTGAAATTATGATATATTTACAATATATCTCCCTTCTCTTTTCTCCATCCAAACCCTTCTATATATCCTACTTTCTCCCTTTCAAATCTATATCTTCTTTTGTCATTAATTCTTTTGGGTGGGATTGAGACAGTGTTTCTCTATGTAGCCCTAGCTGTTCTGGAGCTAGCTCTTGTAGACCAGGCTGCTCTGGACTCACACAGATCCACCTGCCTCTGCGTCTCGAGTGCTGGGATAAAGGACATGTGCCACCATCACCCTGCTCGTCATTAATTCTTATTGTTTGCATATATGTATAAGTAAGCGTAGCCTTTGTCCCTAATCCAGGAAACTTCTCTTTGCAATAGATGGGGACAACTACAGAAGCCCACAACATATCAAAATGCAGAGTTGTGGAACCCAGTCCCAGGGAATATATTTAAAAAACACTCCCAAAGCTATGGTTCCAAGAAATAATACAGAAATAAGACAAAAGATTGTAAGAGCCAGAGGATCAGGGAGTGTTTTGTGACACATGCTAACATTGGTTAGGGAAAGCCCATGAGACTCAAACACACACAAAGAATTACAGGCAACTAAAGAATGCTGAGAACTGAAGAAATAGTCTTCCCCAGGGAAGAAAATACCAATTGATTATACAATAAATCCTTTTAGGAAGAAAATGTGCATTAAATAATTTTAAATAACAATCCTATCTTAGATCTTGGATCTCTAAAGCTTTTTCTTACTGGAAATGGGATGTGTCATAACCTGCCATGATATGTCACTTGACAACCTTTTCTTCACCCTCTACAGTAACTTTTTATATGTTACAAACCCAAGTCCTTCTCCACTAAATTAGCGTTCTTATCTTTGAGAATTCTTTCCTGTCTTTAGACTCTCTCTGGGTCTCTCCATGGCATCTATTTTCCTCTCTTGAGACCTTCTAGCTTTCAAAAAACTCAGGTATCTTCCTGTGCTTCCCATATCCCACAAACCCGTTAATCATTTTTTATCAGTAAAGTAAATAGACAAGGCAAAACTGACTTTTTGATTACTAGAATGAATGATCTTTATTAAACAAACTGTGTTTTCAAGGACCAGTCCAGTACGCATGAGCAGAAACAGGGCATATGGGACACACGGGATCACTGGACAGCTAGATAGAGGGCTCAGTGGTACTTATGGGACAGAGCAGTGGCCACCCCAGCCACCAGCTTCTGCCAGGCAGCCTGCACCTCAGGTGTGAATTCCTTGCCGAAGTGACTAGCCAAAACAATCACCAGCACGTTACCCAGGAGCTGTTTGAGGAAAGACAAACAGATTGGTGTGTTAAATGAAGGTTCAGAAAAGAATATACATGAAAAACAAAGAAGTATCTTGAGCCTATGCTATAACATCTTCAGCCTCAAACTCTGCATTCAGTCATCTCTGATGAGCATAGATTCATTTATTCTATTGTACTTCTGTCTTCCCCCTCACCACTGCTCTGCATGAATTCTCACACTTTCTCCTCTTCCCAGTATATTCATTTGCTTTTCTTGTTACTTTCTCATGCACCAGTTGTCTAAAATCTGTAAATACAGAATTTCTGTGCTATAAGTGCCCTTAGTGGAGTTTTAAAACCACCCCAAATGTAGAAACAAATTTCCACTTGTCACGATATTCACTTGGGAATGTAGTATATTTCTATAATGTTGATAGAGAAAGTCCATCTTTAAATTGTACCCCAAATCTTTTCTTCAACATCAACCATTATGACCTAGAAAAGTTAAGCTATTTTCCCTCTCCAGATTCCATTTCTTCTTGCACAGATCTGCCATTCTTTCCCATTACTCCCCACAATAAGTACAACAAAAGTCTGTCATGACAAAATCGTCTAAATGCTTGTAAACTAATTTAGGCTTCTTGCAGCCATCCACTGTCATCCTACCTAGACCAATGAATTTTGAGATCTATATTAGCATCAATATCACTCATATTCTCAGCTTCCATTTGTGTCCCCAAGACAAATGCATTATAAATTTGTGAGTTTGCCCTGAACTCACCTTGAAATTCTCAGGATCCACATGTAGCTTGTCACAGTGCAGTTCACTGAGCTTAGCCAAAGCAGACTTGAGGTTGTCTAGGTTTTTAATGGCTTCTCCAAAAGAAGTCAGCACCTTCTTGCCATGGGCTTTGACCCTCGGGTTCCCCATTATGGCAGAAGCAGAGGACAAGTTCCCAAAGCTGTCAAAGAATCTCTGGGTCCATGGGTACACAACAAGAAGCCTGTGGGGGGGGGGAAGTAGACAATAAGGGATCCTGAGAATTCTTGACTTTCCTGCTCATTTGTCCAAGGAACTGTTCACCCTTCTCCCAGATGGGTCAACAACCAACTCTTACCTTCCCAAGGCTTCACCACCAACTTCTTCAACATTCACCTTACTCCACAGGCCATTGATGAGACCCTTTTCCTCAACAGTAAAGTTCACCATGATGTCAGATCTGCGAGCTTGCTGGTGATCACAGGAGTGTCAGAAGCAGGTACATGCTGTTGTTAGAAGTGGTGGCCTTTTATTCTTCACTGACGATATTCTGAGCCTTTGATCTGTACAATGCTTTGAAGCTATTGGTCAGCTTGACCTGTGGTCCTCATGGGTGGAGCCAAATCATGGGAGGGTCAGTAGTAACTGTACACTGAGTTTATGATAATACATTTTAGATATGGGGCCATTTTTTTTCTTTTTGGCTCCGCCTTCAACAAAAACATCTTTTTTTACTTATTGGTTTTTTATTCTGCTCTACCCCTGTGTAAACTTTTAAGGTAATACTAATCTCTTTCATCACATTTTCCAACAAAGGCAGAGAGAGAAGTTTAATTCACTATAGGAAAAAAAACTTAACAATACTTTAACATTTTGGTAAAAATACTTTAACATTTTGGTAAAAAATGGGTACAACGGTAAGAACAAACTCAAAGTTAAAAAAGAATTTGTGCTGTGGACACAGATCATATCTAGTTCTTATTTTGGGAGATGTGGGCGAAAACTATATCTTCTATATATGTGCTACCCCAAGTGAACAAGAATAATATATGGTTGCATGTATCAGATGAATACAGTAACAAAGGATTGACAATGGGACCAAAAGCTCAATTCTAAAATACACTAGGGAGTAACACCACAGAAAAGATGTATACAAATTCACCTTCTGTACTTCTAGACTCCTCTGACAAATCTTCTGTGGACCTTGGCTCCTTTGGAAATATTGCCCTGTGCTCTTTTCTTGTTTATCTCCATATAGACATTTCTTATCTGTGAAATGAAACTAAAATTACATTAAAGTAGGTCTTATGATCCAACAGCAATAGGTGAATTGACACATCAGTTACCTTGAGAAACATTTGGAGATATTCAGTCATCATTATATCCAAAGGTTCTGATCTCCAGTGAGCTTGATTTCTATTCATGTCTTGATATTGCTTGTCAGCTGTTACCTGTTGGACCTGAAGTTAGAAATTTACATTTGTATGTGTTCAAATTGCATCCATGTGCATATGAGATAGCCTCTACACCATCCTATTTAACCTGCATCTGGTAATATAATTATCATTACCCACACTTTATTTAAATGAAGGAACAAATCACAAAGGTGATATAACAATAAGGTAGAACTGATGACTGAGAGGGAGGATGCAGATTTGTGCACAGTTTAGCTTTCCTATCTACAGAAAAGTTCTCATACATTGCCATAATCTAGTGGCCCTTCAGAGTCCCTGCCTCTGGCCAGTTCTGCATGCATTCTATTATTCACCTCCTCTATTGCTCCCTGTGCTCCTAACAGTCCTGAGAGTTTCCCTTCCAGCAGATTACATTTGTTTAGTTTAGTTCTATTTTTCATGCTCCAAGTTTACCTACATGCTTTTCTCTTTGGCTTGCCTTGATGTTTATGGTATCTCCTTATGTGTATAACATAACCATTTCTGACACATGAGAATATATCTAGTTTTCTTTCTAATATTGCAGAGCTTTTATCTAATTTAAAGTCTTCCCAAATTGGCATTATTACAAACTATTGAATCTGATCTTTTCTACCCTCAGTTTTAAACCTACATTATCTTTTGGGTACAGATTCCAACCAATGGCCAATATAGATATGAACTTATCTTTTTCATGACATAGACTAATTGAATAGACTGTTAACTACTAAATAGTGTGCATAAAATTATAAGCATAGGATCGCTAAGAATATCAATGTAGTTACCACACACATATTGAAATAGCTAGATACCTTTGGTGCAATGTTGTATGCACTTCCTCATGAACATATTAGATTTAGTAGTAGATCCATAGTGACCATCGCATCTATTTTATAATGATTAGTGGTAAAGGTAACTGTAATGTCTATAGCATAACATTTTAAAAGTGCTCTATGGGCCCAATTTAAGGTTTCCTTGACTAGAATAGACAAACGAGGAAAATAGAATTCTAGGTTGAGAAATATGTTTCATTATGCAATAATAAGACTAAACAGACAAAAAATAAAACAGCTGTATGCCAGACTGAGTTATACAGCAAGGCCCTTGTCTCAGAAACCCAACTCTGAGAGACTCAAACAATACAGTGTTTGGTCAGCATGTACAAAGCCCAGGAATTGGATTCACTCCTAAGGACTGTCCATGTGTTTCAAAAGAAAGAATCAAATATTTTTATAATTTTATATACTACTAGTATGGGAACTTGAAAAAATGCATTATTTGTTGTAAAATAATCCCTTCAATGCATGTTTTTAAGTGTTATCCAGGAAAAAGAAAAAAAGGTGTCTGTAGTTGTTCTTCACCATAAAAAGTTTTAAAATAGAAAAATATTAATGAAAGTTACTGAACAGGAAAAAGTAGTTTGCAATTCTTACTCAAAGAAACAGTCACTTACTTTTCCTCCTTTGCATGTCTATACTCACATCCATATAACAGTAATAAATGGGACATAAGAATTCTATTAAGTATTGCACTATTGAGGAATGATTTTCAGACTAAGAGCAACAAGTTGGCATCCCCACAGAAAGCCTACACTTTCCCTAGTATCAGTGCAGAAAATGAGGAACAAGCCATGGGCAGCATCAGAAGCTCTTAAAGCAGCAGCCTCACATTTCACAGCAAGCAGAGTTGTATCTCAATCTCAGAGTGACTTCTCTATTCAGTTCAGAGCATAGACACCTGCTTGACTGACTTCCAAGGTTACCCTAAGTAAACCAGGGAAAGATGTGTATGGCTTTTAATTACCCACAGATGTTTTTACTCGGAAGAGGAAATAGGAAACCACAGCCACCCAGTTAGTCTCCAGTTCCTTCAGTTGTGGAACTTGAAGTTCATATTTAACTCTGGTAACCTAGAAAAGTCATAAATGCCCTATTTTCTTCCAAACTGTCACTTGGTTTTTTTGGTTTCTTCAGCATACTTGTATTGTTGTTTGTTTGTTTGTTTGTTTGTTTTTAAACTTGAGTCCTTGAATAAATTAAGTTGCAAAGTTGTCTGTTTTCAGGATTAAAATTCTGGAGAACTCTTGTTTTTTTGTGTGTTGAATAATCTCACCTCTTTCACTCTACAAACCAAGATCAACCTACCAAAACACTCTGACATAGTCAAAAGATAGACACTCTTATTAGGGTGGGTGCTTTTTGTTTTAATTTTCTCCTTCAGTTAACACCACTACCTTAGGGGATAGCCAAATTTCATTGTTTTTAACCAGTTAAGTCAATTAACAACTGATGAACTGTATTCAAATGTAGCCCTTCTTAGATATACACTAACTAAATATTGAATAATTTCTAAATAAAGTTCACTCAAAAGCTATTCTTATGGGCAGAGGTTAGAATTTATGTCTATATCTATTGGACATTGCCACAAGATGTGCTTAGGGTCCAACTGAATTCTAGTTGACAAGATGAAAAATGTCTTTAGATTTGGTAATTTTTGAAATCTAAAAAAAAAAAAAAGGAAAAACTACTATCCCTTGCCTAGGCAATGCCTTTTCAGCATTTGTAGTGTCCTATATGGGAGTTATAGCATAGGGTAATTCCTGAACTGCAAATTCACATCTTTCTGGAGAAATGCAAAAGTGTGAGGGTTAGCCTAGTAATCATAGATTAAATGACAGCCACCCTGACAAAGGTCAGGTCCCATTCCTTAACAAGGTCATCCCCAGTGAGAATTATGAGAAGCCATGTGATTATTGTCCCTGAGATTGGCAGGATTTAATATTTGTAGCTCAGAAGAGTTATTCTGAGCATAAGTTATCTCAGCCTCTGGGTTACTGAGTCTGAGGTATTCAGAAAGGTAAGAAGCCTTCCTTTTTCAGGGTCCTTGACAGTGCCGCCTCAAGAACAGCCTCATTCAGGCCTGTAAGGAGGTTTCTCACTAGCCCTATTTCCTTCCTGCCATCTCCTCCTTTTTTTTCTTCTTTCCTTCTCCTTTCTTTTTATTTGTCTTCATCTGTCTGGGTGTTTGGGACTTTCTTTTATTATATTTTAATAGAAGTGGAAAGAGCTGCTGTTTTTCTTTGGCTGGAACTTAGGATGGTGACAGTGGGTGGAGTGAGAGGCTGTGGGGACAGATAAGGACCAGAGATGCACAGAGCTGAGTCAAGGTTGGGGCTCTCCTGAGAGGGTGAGATGCATAATGTTCAGGCTCCTACATTCTTTGTTCCATCATTGTCCCTTCATGAATAGATGGAAGGAAGGAGCTATGGGATAGTTTGAGGACCTGCCTTGGGAAGGCCTGATAAATATGTTTTGTGTTATACATTCATAATTATATAAATATTGCTACAAATGTGTGGCTATTATCCAAATTTTCAATGATATCATGACTGTAGCTTATGACACCCAAAGAGCCAAGGAAATAAATTTCATTCTCAAAATTCCACTGAGATGAATTTTTTCTTAGAAAATAAAACAAACAAACAAAAAAACTCAAATGATCAAAAGAGGGACTCAAAGAGTAATGAAGGAGCTAAAATGACCCCCCGGAACAGAGACTTTCAACTGTAATTTTATTAAATTCTGCTATATAATTAAAAAGCTAGTAATTAAGGAACTTGCCCAGAGGGAAACTGTAGGAAAGGAAGGTTTCCTATTGGCTGCCCCAGAGATTCTTTGGACTTCACATGGTTTCTCTAGACCATGACTCTACTCTACCTGAGAAAATGAATAAAAACCACACCTGAGCTGTGGGCACAATGATGGTGTCAATGGCATAGTTGCAGGATGCCTGCCATGAGTATACACACACCTACTCATGCCAATTCATATTAATTTCCAAATGGGAGTCTGTATCAGTATAAAGATTTTGAGGCTGAATAAGCAAACTTTAACTTTGTGCTGTCCTCCATCTACACCTGTAGTCATCACAACCATGACATCAAAACTGCCATGGCAGTTCTTTTTTTTTTTTTTTTTTTTTTTTTTTTTTTTTTTTTTAATTTAAGTTTGAAACAAGATTGCTTTATATGCCAATCCCAGTTCCCTCACCCTCCCATTCTCTACTATCACCCCCACC